TTAGTTGTCACTACTCTTACTTACTACTACGTACTAAACGTAAACTAAACGAATAGTTCCTCCAACTACTGTAAGTAGTGTAGCACTATACTACTCTCTCTCTCTCTCTCTCTCTCTCTAACACACACTCTTTTCACATGATATCAGAGCAAGGATCATAGATCATCTCAGCATAATCAAGGCACCCATAATATCCTCTTTTTCTTCATTATTATCTCTACTTCTTCAAAACCCCAACTAATATAATCATCTTTTTACTTAATATTTTCTTTCCACCCAGTGTTGAAAAAGTCGGCCGCCTGCCCGACATCTATACACCTGGGGGTGGAGGGGGAACAGTTAACATATTGTCTCTCCAAGCACCTCCATGCAACTAAAACTTTTCAAACTTATGTATCCCCCTTTGAATCAACTGATTCACAATAATAAACCAACTTAAAGAAGCAAAAGAGCTTTGAAGGCATCATTTAACAAAAATATGGAGAATGAGAAAGTATCAATGGCTGAGATAACCTTAAATTTAGTTAGAAATCTAATAAGTCCGGGCAGACCAACAGAGCCTAAATACAATAACCATTAACAAAAAAACTAAAAAATTCTCTTAAAAACTCATGTTATGACATATGATGGGGAACAAAAGGTAATACAATGTGACATTTTGAACTTGAAGCTATGCAAGCTGTAGATTTTCAATAGAAAAAGTAATACAATGTGACACTTTGTACTGGAAACTATGAAAGCTGTAGATATTCAATAGACCATAAGTTGTATAGGAGCCAAAAATGAGTCGAATAATTTAAAATTCACTTGAACCATTATCACGAACCACAAGGTTTCAAACACAACAGCATTTTACCAATTCTTTATGAGAGATAGAAATCCAGTAACCTAATTTATTGAAAACAGCCTTATCTTCTCATATTATATGTGAGTGGTGTTATTCAGGCCCATATAATAAGCCATTTATTCTAAATCACCAATCAAGCAGATGCAATAAATGATATACACTGTCATCACAGAGGGAAAAATGAAACCATAGCTATGTAAATATAGACCAAAAAGTAAATACACGCGACATAGGCCCTTAAACATAATTACTTAAATCGTTTATCAACAGCATGTTATCTGGCAGTTATACGACCAATCTTCTGGACAACAAACTATCTTACATGCAATGAATATGAACCATTGTTTGAAACTCAGAATCAAAATAAAGATTAAGCTTCTAAATGCAAACTAGAAGAATACTACATGTGGCATATTGCTCAAGGCCATCGTCAAATCATCACAACAATTTGACTTACAAAATATCTTTGCTTCGCAGCTTCCTTGAAGCTCACAAATGAAAGCATATCAAACTTATGATATGGCAGAGAGATAAAAGCATATCAAACTTATGATATGGCAGAGAGATAAAAGCATATCAAACTTATGATATGGCAGAGAGATAAAATACAGCAACTAGGGCAGTTAACCATTTCCACTTTGCATCAAAGTCAACAGAACATAGATTGTGGCATGGGTATAAAGTTTCTTATAAAATTAAATATAGAAGATTGGAGCTATCCAGGTAAGCAAGACTCCATGCAACTTGCATCACAATTTACTCAATTTAAGCATGAAAATACAATACATAAAAAAAAAAAAAAAAAAGCACGAACAAACAATATTTAAAAATGATTAAAATAGTCCCTTCAAAAGATTCATGATGGAAAATGAAAGAATATTCACTGATACCACAATAAAGGAGTTAGATATTACCTTGATTGTGTCATAATGGTTCCAGCCAACCTCGGATGACAGGCGACCAAGCAAACAGTATTTGTGTCCAGGTTGAAGCCTCAAAACCCTGATGTTAAACAAACCAACAAATGTTATAACAAAAAAAAACAAAAAAACATGAACAAAGCCAGGAAAACTTAAAACAAAGAAACAGAATAGAACAGTTTGAAAGCAATTAGGAATCTAGAGTGAGAAACCATACTTGAGAGCATCAGGGATAACCATTCTCTTGGTCTTGTCATATGGTGGGGGGACTCCCTCATAAACTTTGAGCCTGGCAAGAGCAGCAGCTCCACGCTTTGTCTTGTGAGGGATCATCCTACAAACAGGAACGGAAATATTCAACAGTCAGGTACAATGGAGGCTTTATTTACAATTATATTGAGAGAATGCAATATAAGTAAGGGGAAGAGAGAGGGTAGACAGACAAAGAGGGATGAGCATATGAAAGGTTCCACAAACCATTAAGGGAGAAACAACTGCACAGATCTAGAAATATAGACAAAGATGGAGACAGGGAGGTCTTACAAATCAATGGGAGACAATGTGACGGAGAGACAAAACAATGGGTACTTGGATTAATGAAAAATACAAAAATAAGCCACAAGAATGCTTAAGAAATCACTGAGAGAAATGAGACCACTTTGATTAAATACATAACCAGAAATCAGGCATAAGAAAGGCTACATAAATCAGCGAAGAGAAGTGATACACAGATAGAGACAGATAGGTTCGAAATGACTAATAAACTGTTCAGAACAAAATCATAACAAATGTAAACAAATCACTGAATAATACACAAATTTATAAACAGAGACGCATCGGTAGAGCTGGGTTTCATCCCCAAAAATGAAACTATCCAAAAGCATCGATGGATAGATAGATGAATAGGTTCCAAAAAATACCCACAAAGCAACCGATTTAACAGATAGAGGAAGCAGTGTGTAGCTAGAGAGAGAAACGTAATGTATTACCCTCTGATGGTCCTCCATAGGATCTTAGAGGGAGCACGGAAGTGGATAGGGCCATGAGAGGGCTTAGTATTCATCCTCTTCCTCAAGAATCTGAGATACTTCATTTTCTGCCTGACCAAGCCACCAGAGAGGCAGATCTCTTCACATCTCACAACGACCACTCTCTGCCCATTCAATAGCTCCTTGGCAATGATGGAAGCGAGGCGGCCGAGCATGTGGTGCCTGGCGTCCACCACCACCACCTTTGCGCAGATCCCTGAACCAGAAACCATTGCTACTCCCTCTACTCACGCTCCTCTCTCCTCTCTCTCTCTCTACAAGTGGAGTAGACGATTTAGGGTTCTCTTGGGAGCAGACGAATTAGGGTTTCTGAGAGCTATTTATGCGGCATTCTTATTAAAGGGTGATTTCGTCATTTGGTAAAGAAATAAATATTTCGTAGTATTTTGTTGAAAGTTTACTATATGAAATCGAAGAAATTATTTGATAGTTGCAATTTTTAAGATATTGGAGCCTTGAGGCTTAAATTTTTTAATTTAGCCTTCTCACCTCAACATAAACCTATCAAATTAAGGGTGGGAATCGGCCGGGTTGGGTCGGGTCCCGATTGACTCGACCTCGGACTTGATTTGGATCCATTCGGGTCCAAGTCAATTGAACCCATACCTGACCCACTCGGTCGAGTTATATATATATATATTTCTCTCACCTATAAACTGTCTCATCAAAATACATGACATGTCATGTTTTTACTCCTCTCTCTCTCCCCTATGCCTACCTTTCCTCTCTCTCCCCTGTGCATGCGGCACTACCATTGCCTAGCCCTGCCTCCTCCATTCTTGCAAAACTCTCGCCTTGCCTCTTCTCTCTCTCCCCTGTGCTTGCGTTACAACCATCTCTCTCTCCCTTGTGCCTGCCTCTTCCTCTTTCTGTCCCCTGTGCATGCGGCACTACCATTGCCCAGCCTTGCCTCCTCCATTCTTGCAAAACCCTCGCCTTGCCTCTTCTTCTCTCTCCCCTGTGCTTGCGGTACAACCATCGGCCAGGCAGTTGCAACCTCCAACCTTTGCAAAACCATCGCCCTACACGCAATACCGTTGAACCAGATATGCTCCTCCTCTTTCTCTCTCTCTCAATAGAGAACTCAGGTTGCACTTATTTGGGGTATAGGCATTGGAGTCATAGTTGTACTTTCCTACACTCTTTCTCTCTCAAGATTTTTTTTGGGTATATTTGGGGTATAGGCATTGGAGCCATAGCAGCACTTTCCTGCACTTTCTCTTCTCTGTCTCTCTCTCAAGATTTTTTTTGGTATATTTGGGGTATAAGCATTGGAGCCATAACTGCACTCTCACTGAAGATTTTTTTTTGGGTATATTTGGGATATAAGCATTGGAGCCATAGTTGCACTTTCCTACACTCTCTCTCAAGATTATTTTTGGGTATATATGTTTTAACCTTGTAGTGAACCCAAAGACTTGAATTTTTTTGGGTATATATGTTTCATTTCTTTTGAGTATATGGACATGCAGGAATATTGCTTGTTCTTTCAATTTACATGGCTAGCACTGGTGGGTCGATGGACAGTAAGCTTAAGGAACTTACGTTTGTGATACTTAAAATTGGTTTTGGCTTTTTTAGCACTTTCAACAATAGGGTTTACTTGGGTCATCACACTCCAACACAGCGATTGATAGTGATGGAAGGGGAAAACTTACAACTAATTTAATGATTTGTTTCATGGAACCACCATTCATTTATTCCGATGATCATATGGATCATACTCCCAAGTTCTAAAGACTTTACATCTAGCTGGTATCTATTTATGCTTTTATTTCCAAATTGGTTGGAGTCTTGAACATCAGACTGATTTCCAGTTTTTCTTTTTAGATACTCAAGAGGTCAAGAGTTTTCATGAATCGATTCTTATAAGTGCACAGAGAAAAAAAGAGTTATCGTGTTCCGCCCAAGAGGAGCCCTGAGAGCAAGGTTTTAGTGGAAAGAAGCATGTCGATTTGGGATATGAGAAGATGGAAAAGGCACGAGAGAAGGGTTGTTTATGTTACGGTATAGCTTAGACCTTGGAAGAGTATTTCTTTCTTTTTCTTTGTGTATTCTAGGAAAATCACACGATTTCTTTTGTTTGTTAATTTTAAGAAGTCCACACTCTCTGATGTAAAATGTATAGTGCAAAGTTGCTTTGCTTGTAATTTGAATCTTCTGGTTTAGTTTGTGACCTGATGTGTGCACTTGCTAAGATAGAGCCTAACTACAGTTGTTGGCAGCGTCAGTTAATATGGAAAGTGTACACTGAGTTATGCTCGAGTGTGGTGCACTCCATTAACATATTTGAAAACAATGTTTTCTTGTACTTGGCTTGGAGAATTGGTTACATTGTATTGAGGATTAGGAACTTTTTTCATTTTGGTTTTTCTTTTTTTTTTGCTTTTTACTCTCTTTTTTTGTGTTTTGGGGTGTTTTGGGGGGAATTGTTCACTTTCTCTCTCTCTGTCATTCACAAATTTGTGTTCTAATTAGTGTAGGTGGGAAAATGGCAAGTTCATCCACAAGCAATACCATGACATATTCAGACAAGAATTGCAGAAATTGTGGCTACAAATGTGAGATCTGCATATCTAGAACAAAATCCAAACAAGAAGTACTTTAAGTGCAAATCATGTAATTTATGGAATTGGTGGGTTGATATGCACCTCCGTTACTCCCAAAACTGCAATATATTGGAGCCAACGACATCCAACTTCAAGTCATTGATCAAGTTATTAGAGAACCAACAACGTTTGATTACCCAAGAGAATTTTGAGAAGTGCGTAGTTTTATTCATATTAGCTTTGAGTTTAAATATTTCATATTGTATATTTCTTTCTCCTTATACAAAAGGTGTAATGTGTAGTTTTCTAACTTAATCGTAAATAAACTACATTTTGCATTAAAAAAAAGCAATGGGTCTTTCATTCTTTTGGCCTAGAAGTTACTCGTGCATAAGCCCCTAACCCTAGGCATTCGTGAAATTTCATTATGAACCCTATAGGAAATGCATGTGGGTCTGATCGGGGGGATCTCATTAGCATCTATATGAGTAGGACAGGGTACTTGAAGTCACTGTGGTTTAGCTATTGAAAATTTGAAATATCAAAGAGTTTATCATAGGAACATAATTGAAAAGTTGAGTATTAATGAGATACTTTTGCTGAAAAGTTTCATAGCACCATGGAACATAATTGAAATCCAATGTCTGTGTAAAATACTTAATCTCATAATGTACCTTCTCACTTGAATAGCTAATAGTTGGCTTCAAAAGTGCAGGTTTAGTAAGAGAAAAAGGGAAGGGAGGAGAAAATCAGCTATCTATTTAGTCATTTGCAATATCATTATGGGAAGTTCTACAAGAAATACACAGTTTGTTCTACAGAAAATATACAGTTTGTAATATCTTTATTGAAAGTTCTACAGCAAATCAGCCTTCTATTTAGTCATTTGCAATATCCGAGAACAATGGTCATTCCACAAAACATTGTAACTTTCATCAATTTAAGGCATTATTTTGCTTGGTCTCATTGTATGTGCATGTGTGTGTATGTGAGTGAGAGATGAGAGAGAGAGATAAAATATGTGAGAGAGCTGAGAGAGAGAGAGAGAAAAAAAATTTGTCATTGCTGAGGAAGCCATTTTAGCCCCCATAATTGAAGATAAGGACGACAGAATCTACTTATCGACATTCAAATTCTCATGATACAATGAACGCATGCGTGCCTTTTGTGTGTGTGTGAGAAAGAGAGAGAGGGAGGGAGAGAGAGATTGTGTGTGCGTATGTGAGAAGGGGGGGGGGGCGGGAGGGGAGTGTCACATTCAATTGAACTATACAATTATATGAACACGTAAAAGTGGAGCACCCGAGACAGTAACTTCAACTGTAAATGCTGGGCGTCAAATTTACATCAAACAACTTTGGGCTAGACAGAAAAGTTACAACCACAAGATGCAATGCATCATCATTCATCAAAGTTGATATTTCTTACTAAAAGAAGTAAAGAAAAACAAAGAAGCTTTATATGTGAATCATCATTGTACATTAATTATGCCAAAATATACTAAAAAGGGGCAATCTAGAAAATCAAATGTCACTATAACAGTTTTTTTGGCCCTTCAGCTTTGGTATTGGAAGCGAATGAGATAGGCACCAATGGGTGGTCCTTCACAGTCAAGCTCATAGCTGGCTTTTCTGCTTCTGGCTTTTTCTTAGCTTATTCTTGAATATTGAAAGGCGATATCCATCTCTAAAAGATCATTAAATCACATTAATGTGTGTAGCATATTTCTAAACAACACTACACAAATTGGCATATGTCATTATCCAGTTATAAATATATGAAAATAAGACAACTAAAAGAATAATTAAGAAGCAAACCCAGCTCCTGGGCCTACATGCTTTGCTGCAACCAAAAGAAAACAAAACTAATAAACGATACAAAGGGAAAGAAAGGTCAGTCCAATATTTTGCAATGTACCAAGCCCCATTTCAAAGACATGCAAACATGTAAACATTCTATACCAACCTATGTAATTTATTTGTAAATTCAGTTAAGCAAATGAATGATCAGAAAATGGAAACAATATGGATTAACATTGGAACTTCAAAGAGATGGCAACTAAAAAAATGATGGGTCTGAGATACAACAAGATTCACGCAAGTATCTCCAAGGCAGAGATTTAGTGACATTTTATTTAATAAAAATAATAAGAAGGTGAAATTTCATTCTAATGGCAAGATGGACCATATACAGTCCTTCCAGCAAAGAATATAAAATTAAAATCTTTATACCCCTGAATGGCTCGATGAAGGAATGTCGGATTCTTTGGATCCAATGAGAGTCTCCTCAATGCACTAAGCGTTGCATACTATAAATTATTCCAAATGATAGACTGCAAAAATGTCAAACAACACAACACTTACATCTCTACTTCCTGTAATATAAGATCATTACATCACATTAATGTATGTAGCGTATTTCTAAAGAGCGCAACACAACATTAGAACACAACAAATTCAGTAGCATATAACATAACACTTACATGATTCATCACCATTACTATATATGTTTCATGTCTTCACAACTCCCATCAATAGCTACCATAGTGTCGTTTAACCTGTAATAAGAAAACACCTTATAAACATTTAATAAATCCTTGTTACACTTACAAAGTGTACAAATATGAAGCAATTATTTATGCATACTTTGAATGAGCGAATGATGGACAATTTCTTGTGTCATGTCCACTCTTCTTACATACTATACACTTTCTAGTACCATCATTTTCTGTGGCTTTAGCTTTCTTTGAGTCTACCTCAGA